TCAGGATCTTATTATATTCTCTGAAGGCGAAGTCGTGCAATTGCATTAACTCGGAAGTGAAAGCCTCGAAAATCCACCGTTCAAGAAAGAACTCGACATTGATGCCCGCAAACTCGAACTGCAGATACTGTAACCATAAGTGAATGACATTCTGGATGTCCCCAACGCGAGAAAAACTTTGCATACCTTCTGTAACACCCTAAACCCTAAACCCTAAACCCTAAACCCTAATGAATAAAACGGCTAAACCCCCTGCTGAAATCTGACTTGTTTTAAAAGCTCAAACCTTAAACCCTGCCTTAAGAACCCAAAACCCACTTTTTTGTAGGTTCTTATTATAAACCCTAATAAGGGATTTATAGGGACCCTACAAAACAAGTAGGTTTTGGGTTCTTAAGGTAGGTTTGAAATCCAAAGCATCCTAAACCCGACAGGTTTGTTCTTCGGCCCCGCGGCTCAGGTGATGTAATGTAACTTGTTTGGGTTGGTTTAGGGTTTAGGGTTTAGGGTTTAGGGTTTATACACACGTTTATTGTTTGCCCGGTCTTCATATTTAGAATACCAACAGTATTGGTTTCGATTTCAAGTGCAACAATAATAACAGCAACTATGCTGATAATAGAAATAAGCATCCTCATAGCGATAGCAAGGTTAGAACTTATAACCAAAGGCACAGATTGGGGCTGTTCGGGTCTTATCATGTCTGTGAGCTGACGGGCCTCGAAACCCTGTGCCGTGAATCCTGTTGCCCGGCATATTTCCAAATAGACCCTGAGCAGCTGACGGTTCGGGGTTTATTTAGGGTTTGGGGTTAACTCAGCAATGCATCAAACGTCTGAAGGTCTAAAGGTCTGCTGTGCCTCGTGCGCCCTCCGAAGATGTAGAAGTTAGGGTCTAGGGACAAGCTGCGAGAATACTGTCGCACGCTGGATGCGGCAGTGTTCCTGCATGCATGATCCCCGCTTGTGTAGCTTCTAGCTGCTACACAGTGCTGGCCCTTAATGCGGGCTTGCAAGCAGCCCTTAAGCTTCTGCTACACAGGGCAAGCGGCTTCGACAGAGCTTGCTTGCTGATCCTGCGGCCGTAGGTCGGACTCGCTTCAAACCAAGTGTCCTGCTCAGGAAGGCGGCACAAGAAACTGAACCTACAGTAGCCGCTGCCGCTTTGACAACAAACGATATGTTGAAGGGGAGTACTTGAGCCGTTGGGGGTTCTGGGTCTAGGTAGAGGAACACAAAGGACTCAGCCAGTGTCCGCCCCAGGGCAGGTTCCCGGTCAAGTTCTCTCTCTCTCTCTCTGACACCATCGTTAACCGTTAACCCAAAGCCCTAAACCCTGAACCCCTAAACCTTACTTGATTGTGATGGTTGGGCCCAAACCCTCAGCCCTAAACCCCCAGTATTTTTGGGAAACTCAGAACCTTCCGAAACCACCCGGCTCCCACTCCGAAGGTTCGGGAAACAGGCTTCGGGCTGCTTCATTGGCTTGGGCTTTGGCTTGGGTGTTCGGTCTGTTGTCTTAGGGTTTAGGGTTTTAGGGTTTAGGGTTTAAGGTTTAGGGTTTAGGGGCTAGGGTCTTATGGGGTCTAGGGCTGGGAGCTGAGGGTTTTGGGTCTTGGGTCCATGGTTTGGCTTCCTACTTCGCAAGCACGAGCCCGCATGCCAGAGTGGGTCCATAAGCACATGACATGACGGGGCTGCTCTACCCATAGGCCCCCTAGTAGTTCCCCTTTGGGGATTACCTTATAGGGTTCTAAATATGAACCCCAAAAAGGAACTACCATGGGGCCTATGGGTAGGTCACGGTCCTGTAAAGCCTTTACGGCTCTCGTCCCTTTTACTTGAGAACCCTAAGCCCTAAACCCATAACACGGCCCATGCATAGCAGGCGGTATCCTTCAGCATCTCGGCAGCAGTTGGCCTGCCGTCAGGCTCCTGTGCTGGTGTCTCGGCTTCGTGAGACTCCCACGTCCCAGAAACTACGGTCCACGGCTTATGTTTTGGGTCGCGATACCCCCACCCCCCCCCCCCCCCCCCCAAATCCAAGAAACTAAGATTAGCAAATCATAACAGGGCTCCTCGACAAAGAACCTTTAAGTAAGGGGTGTTGGAGTTCCCGGCAAGGTGTGTGGGCACGGGCTAGGCACAAGCTTGTATTGCAAACGCCATGGTCTTGCAGTGTCGAAGGTTTTCTGCGAAGACCAGAACTTCAAAGGAGTTTCGATGATGACAAACATACATGGTTACAGGCTACGGGGATTAATGCAGGCTTGGGATGGAGTATCTTGAGGCACAGCACGATCCCATGGTTTCAGAGGTCGTGGCCTCGAATCTTTGGCCGTCGCCGCGACTGTTCCGGCGGAATAGGCTAGAAATTCAAGGGCTCTGTTTGTGGGGTTTCCGGTGCAGGGCTTGGGGGCTTGGGTTGCTCCGCCCTCCTCCTTGGTTGTCGGAGATAGAGCTCCCGCATTATAGTATCTTGCAACCCGGAACGGGTATTGGAATTTCTTGGCAAACTTCCTGATTGAGAACCCGGACAATCAAACACGTGTGGCGCATGTTCGCCGCGCCCGCAGAATCTCCGGCTTCTCTTGACAGGGCTCGTGATATTATCATGTCCCGGCAAGCCCGCCCAAGCACCAATTTCAATCAACGCAGGGAGAGCTCTTACAGCCGAGGTTTTAGGTTGCCCCGTGCAACAACCACCC